GCAGGCCTGGGCGCCCTCCCCTCACTGGCTACAGCAAGGTACTCGATCTTTCTGTGCAGTTTTCTCGACTGTAAAACAGGAACACAATACCAAACCCTCAGAGCTGTTGGGAAAGCTAAATCTGAATTCTGGCCAGGCCTGGAACCTGTAGGAACTCAAGAAGTGGTAGATGTTAATATCATTTACCATCCAGTTAGTTTATTCAGTAGCCAAGGTTAGCTCAAATAAAACAATTCCTCAATCAATAGGATAAAAATGCTGAGAATCCTTCCTAGGATTTATGGGGTTTCTATCATCAACAACTCCCAATTATGCATGGGTTGATTATCAACACTATTGAATATCTGTAAGAAAATTCAGAACTGTTAGAGTCATCTACTCATCTTAATTAAATAACACAAACTAGTCTTCATTTAGTGTTTTCTAAGAGAAGGCAGAAGAGATGGCCCTTTGAAACCAAAATAGTCTTAGAGACAGCATAAAACTACTGTTTTTAAACAGAGACAAGTTAAACTGTCAAATGCTGCTGCCTCTTCCCAGTTTTGAATGGGAGGAAGGAGACAGAGGAAGGAAGCAGAGGGTCTGCGAGGTTGAGAGGCTGGTGAATAACGAGTAAGTGGCAGAGCTGGAATTTCCACCCCGGTCAGTGGCTGCCAAAGCCAGGCTCCCTTGGCCAGCCCTGGACTTACTTATCTACAGGTGGTGGGTGATGTCAGCATTTTTGGGGTGAAACTCTAATGTGCCTTTCTAGATCATATTCAAAGTAAAACAGCTCCCCCAATTTGACAGATGGATTTTGGCTAATCATCTATTTAAGAATATAGTGTAATTGTCTAGTCCTACTAACACAAATTTAAAAATGCTTTTATTTTTTCACAATAAGCCTCCCTCCAAAAATCACTTAACAGAGCAAGAGGAAATTTTAATTAAAGTAGTCCTGTATACTCATCTCATCTAAACTCCAAAGATCCACGCAACATATACACTGACACACACAGAAACACAAATTTTAATAAAACATTTTTAAAAAATTTTACTTAATCCCGAATTTGACAGTACGAGTAACAATTTTAAATTGTTCTGAAATGTACTGTTAGGTTTATCACTGCTGCAACTATTATGGTTGTGACTGCAACTGATCAACATAATTGCTTTTAATACATCTTTCTTTTCTCTCTCTCTTTTTTTTTTTTTTAAAGACAGGGTTCCACCTTGTTGGTCAGGCTGATCTTGAACTCCTGACCTCAGGTGATCCGCCCGCCTTAGCCTCCAAAGTGCTTGCATTACAGGCGTGAGCCACCACGCCCGGCCGAAATTTAGCTTCTTTTGGGAGTTTCTGGATAGCTGAACATGTGGAGGTTCTTGGAGGGTGGTGCACCCAGGAAGGGCATGGATGCAAGCTCTGTACACCTTCCCCCATATCTTGCCCTAAGCATCACTTCATCTGTATCCTTTGTTATATATATATATGTATGTGTGTGTGTGTGTGTGTGTGTGTGTGTGTGTGTATATATTTTTTTTCTTTCTTTTTTTTTCCCCCTAAGAGGTAAGGTCTCACTATGTTGCCCAGGCTGGTCTTGAATTCCTGAATTCAAGGAATCCTGCCTCCTTGGCCTCCCGAAGTGCTAGGATTTCAAAGGGCCACCATAACTGGCCCTTTGTAATAGTCTTTAAAATAAACTGGCAANTTTTTTTTGAGAGACAGTCTCACTATGTTCCCCATACTGATCTCAAATTCCTGGCCTCAAGCAATCCTCTTGCCTTGGCCTCCTAAAGTACTGGGATTACAAGCATGAGCCACTGCACCTGGCCATTAACATGTGTTTTATAAAAAGTTAAGGTGGTTCTATTTTAAATAAGAGACAGTCTACACTCCCAACCCTGACAAGGCGTCTGATTGCCCACAAAGGGGAACTAAAAGCTTGCATAACTCAACACTCTCTGGATTACCACCGCTAATAGAAAAACAATTTGAACTTCTTATGGTGAGCTACTAACCACATTATTTCACTTATCTCATTATTAACACAATATAGAAAAAAGGGGTAGTTAGGACCATATATCATAGCATCTGACAGCCTGGATTCAAATTCTGGCTCCTGCACCCTTACTAGATGTGTGATCTTGGACAAATCTCTTAATCTCTCTAAGCCTTAGTTTCTCATCTTAAAGTGATAATAATTACAGTATCTACCTTTGAGGGTTGTGGTAAGGAATTAAAGTGCTTAGCATGGTGTTTAGCACATAGTAATTATTCAATGTTAACAATGACTGTTTTGCTGTTGTTAGTGTTCTTATCATTATCTCTACTTTAAAGATGAAATATTAAGGATTAAAGAAGCTAAAAAACTTGTCCTGGATCTTATTCCAGGTCTGCTGGATTCCAAAGCCCAAAGTCCCTTCTGCCTACCATGCAAATTCCCGTTTAATTAATCACATCTTTACTGGTTCTTGGTATTGATAAATGTGGATAAGGCTGGTAAAGGCTTTATACACAGGAAAAACAAATGTGGGGATTAAAGATTTAAACAAATGCTCTTGTTTGCTGATCTGGGTAACTGTCCCTGAGAGCTGCTCTTGGAGTCGGTCAGGATGATGAGGAGGGAAAAGGAGATTGCGGCCTTCGTTCTTTTGGCTGAAGACATTTTCTTGGGGCAGCTTAGATATGCCTCACTTTAATTCACCTTTGCTGCCTTACTTTCGTAGATTTGTAGGAAAATTCTGGGACCATATGGAATCCCATTTCGGGTGCATTTTTGTTTACTCATATGCCGTGATACTTGGGGGATTTAAATGGGGTTGAAGAAAGAGAAGTCTTAACGTTTACGTTACTACCCCAATTTCTACTCCTTGTCAATGGCATCTCCATGGGGTGCCCTGGCCTTTATCCTTTCCTGTTTGTATCGAGGGCTAAGATTCCAAATAATGCCAAGGAAGCAGAATAATTTTTAAAATCTATTAACAATAGCTGACTTGCCCATATGAACACAGGCTAGCTGATACAGTCCAATGAAGCAGCAATCTCTAGGTTTCTACATTATATCGTTGATTCAGAATGGAACGCCATCTCCATCTACTGACATTTACGTGTCAGATACGGTACTAGGCACACCCTGTATGTTCTCATTTAATCCTTAACTAAATGACTTACTTGTTTCACAAAAGCCAGGATCTGAACTCAGGTCTAACTCTATAGACATTACTATTTATTATTTATAAAGGCCTTTTAAGATAGCTGAATTTTCTACATTTGTATATTTTGCCATATATCTGCTCCATAACTCATCAAAACTGATCCAAGCACGTGTATCTTTCTTTCAGGTGGAATCTGTGCTTCTAGGGACTGAGCCTTGCCTTCCACCAAGGTGGTCTGAGGGACTTTTCTTCCCTGAAGTCTGGTAGGTACTGTGGAAAGGCATGGGACTGCTGTTACAAACTGAATCTGATGGGCTTCACTCAAATTCATAATGGCTGCTGAAACAGCTCCATTGAACTTTCCAAAGTGAAGATGGTGATGAAAGCAATGGGCTCCTGTCTGATTTACTGAGGGCTCAGCTGCCAAGTGACCAGGTACAGGAGGGATAAATGACTAACTGCTGTCAGGCAACATATCTAACAACACCGCCTCACCCTGCGCTCTCTGCAGCGGAATGACCTGGCTCCTGCTAGCTGTGCAGTCCTGATCTGGGACAAGTCACTCTCTCGGGCTCAGTCTCTCTTTCATAAATACTGATAACAACACCTGCTGGACCTATGTCACAGGTGCATTAGGAGGAGGAAATAAGGTGTGTGGATCTGCTTTAAAACCTGACAACTACTATGTAGTAATTGCATAATATAATGAAATGATTTTTAAAATGGATGTAACAGTTGGATTTCTGTGTCTCGTTAACTTGTCAACGTTCAGTTATCGATATCACAATTCCCATTTCTCTTCTTTGTATTTTAGATTAGCCAAAGTTGTCAACTACACTCATACTTCTAGGTAACTTTGAAGTTACAAAATATTCCAAATTTAGTGGTAATACATCTGCTGCAAGTAAAATACATCAAATTTTACCATGTGAAAAACAATTACTGGATATTATTTTGTAGCCAAGCTCAAAGAGGAAAACTTTTAGAAGGCAGGGAAAGGATCACTAGAAGCTCTGTGGTGGCACCATGAATAGACCCTTTTTCAGAAAGTTTACAAGAAATTTTCACATCACCCAGCCAGCTGCTGTGATCCAAGGAACCATGGACTGGAAAGCAAAGCTGGGTAAGTGGAGGTCACAGCGTGAGGACTGAACCCCGGTGCCTACAAAACTGCAGGCTTTCTCTGGCTGTACGCTATGAAATGAAGTCTGACTTACTGAGATGGTCAAACCTTTCTGCCACGTGGGATTACTTTCTGCCCACTCACCAGGCCGCCAGACCAGCCTAGATACTCAGAACTGTGCCCTTATGTTATTAAAGCAGAAAACAGAATAAAAGATGCTACTGAAAGTTCTGTAGACAGCCATAATCTTAACCACATGCCAAAATGGCTCACCAAAAAAGAAAGCCAAGGCAGTGGTTCTTCGATGGGCCTTGCTGTCCCTTTAAATAGTGTCATGGTTTTGCACGTTTTTAGAAACATGGATGCTGCCTTTCTCAATATTTGGATGCAAAATACAATGTAGCAGACTTGATAATTAACAGAAATATTATTCATAATTTAAGAGCCCAGGTTGTTTTTTTTAAGCTGCCGGAGATCACTATGGTTAATAGAGAGTTTATAGTCTGTGATTAGATGCCTTTTAGGCCGTGAATTTTTAACATCTGCCAGTGTACAGAGGACTTGATTACAGGTTTATGGGTTTTAGAATTAAAACTAAATTTTGTAACCTCATCACAAACATATCTCCACTTAAGTGATGGGTGATTTACATCCAGAATACACACAGAATTGCGGGCTTTGTTTCCCTGGGTTCCTCGCTAGGGCTCTGTTCACACAGGGCTGAAAATGAGAAACTGCTTACTTTCTCGTGCTTGTGTTTCTCCTTTTCTTTTTCTCTCTTCTCTCGCTCTCTCTTCTCTTTCTCTCTTTCCTTCTCTTTCTTCTCTTTCTCCTTCTCCTTCTCTTTCTTTTTCTTCTTCTCCTTTTTGTCCTTTTTCTTTTCTTTCTCCTTTGGCTTCTCTTTCTCCTCAAACAGTTTTTCCGGAAGCACTGGCAACAAAGGCGGCAGCATGGCCGGGACCCTAGCGGCCGCAGCAGGGCTGAACAAGGGCAGGGCCAGCTCTTTCGGGGGTAACACCAGCGGGGGGGCCGGGGCTTTCATCTTCTCTTCTCTGCCTTTATCTTTCACTTTTTCTTTCTCTCTCTTATCTTTATCTTTCTTGCCTTTCTCTCTGTCTTTCTTCTTATCTTTATGCTTCTCTTTCTCCTTCCTCACAAGTCCGTCTTTCAATCTCACTTTGGGATCGACATCTTCAAATTCTTTGATTTTAAACTTGTAGGGATCTGCCTCTTCCTCTTTAAGAAATTCCTTCCAGGGATACTTGGTTTCCCTGCCAGCGTCCTTGTCTTTCTCTTTCTCTTTGACTTTATCCTTCTCTTTACTTTTGTCCTTGTTTTTGTCTTTTTCCCTCTCCCTATCTCTCTGCTTCTCTTTCTTTTTCATTTTAGTCTTCAGTTCCTTTTTCAACTTCTTCTTCACCTCCACGGAGGAAGGCAGCTTGCTTTTCTCCTCATACACCTTGTGGAGAGGCTCGGGAGTGGGAGGAGACACTGACGGAGAAGAGATATAAGGGAAGTTGGGAGGCATATTCGAAGGTGCTCCCAGTTTTGCTTTACGTACAACCTCATCAATGGAGGCATCCATGGTCCAAGAGTTATCGGAACTGGAGGTTCCGCCGGAAAGAGGAAGAGGAGTGGATCCTGACTTTGTGAAATTGTTCGCAGAAGTGGAAGCTTTGGGAGTGGTACACTCCGAGCCTGAAATTCTCTTAGGGCTGGTAAAAATGTCTCCTTCAGATTCCGATCCAGAAGAAAACTCGAAAGGATCCGGCTCTCGCTCAGCACAGGCTCGAGCAATCACAGCATCAATAGAGGCCTCGATCGTTTTATCTGGTACCACAGCCTTTTTCGGCTGATTCTCACTGTTCAGTTTCCCAGCATCAGCGGGCGTCTGTATTTGTTTGACCTGGATAGTCTCTTTACTAATTTTTTCACTGATGGTAGCTGCAGGAGTCCTATTTGGTGTTTCAGGTCTCACCGGTGTTTGGGGAATATGAGTCATGACCTTGGGGCTCTTGGGACTCTTGGGGCTCTTAGAACGTCCAGGTGATTTCTTTTCTTTGGATGCAGTTTTTGGTGATCGAATAGGACTTCCGACCATTGCTGGTGACTGGGCGGTTTTAGGTGATTTAGTCTTCTGTCCTGGAGAGCTAGTTTTAGTCTTTGTTTTAGGTATAAATGACTTTGTTTCTAATGGTTTTGCAGTTGGCATTTGTGATTTTGCAACTGGAGCCAACATTGGTGGCTCGGGTGAGGGAGGTGCCACGTCTGTACTGTCCTGTACGTGGACTGGAGAAAGCATGGGTGGGATCTTTTGAGTGTTTATTGAGCTGAGTGGCTCTCGAGCTTCCAATAACACAACATCTAGCGCGTCCCCTTTAGTGCTTAATAGCCGCGGCCGCTTCATGGCGGGCAGTTCTTCAGCTTCAGGACTATCCAGTGGTCTCTTACCCAGGAAATTCTCATCATTAATAATTTCTTCCTCCTCCAATTCATCATCTTCTTCCAAGGGAACTTGCATGGCTTCTGCTGATGTGCCTCCATCAGTGGGCACCTGCTCTTCTTCTTCTTCTGGTAAAGGAAGGAGAAAAAAAGAAGTATTATTGGAATGTAACAAAACCTAAGAAATAAAAATAATGCTTCAAACATGATTTCTAAAAAAATAAAAACAACAACAACAACAAAACCAAAGTATTGACAGTGTTTAGAAAATAAAGTAGTTAGTTTTCAAGAATCTTCCAAAGCTGTGTGCCATAATTCTTAAAAGAATTATGGCAGTCAGTAACAGCAAGATGTACAAATTGATCATTGTCCTTTCATATGGTCTGGCCCTAATCTCAGGATCTGGAAATTGCTCAGTATTTCCAGTTGGCCTTCTGTTGTTTCCTGAATTAATTCCTTTCCTAACCAGTAAATACCATCTTTCTCTATCTCCCTCTCATGCATACAGAAGCACATGTGTGCGTGCACACCCACACACACCCCTCTAAAAAAAACCAAGAGATGGATTATCAGAAATGACAGAAAGGTATTTTTAGGACTTTTATAACCAATTCATATACTACATATATCTTCTACTTTGCTTGCTTGATGTGAGCCACTTGGAGAAGGAATATGGTGCAATGAAATACACTTGGTTCAGGTACTTGACAGATGGTGTTTCAGCTAGAGCTCTGGCACTAGAGAGCTGAGGGACTCTCTTAACTTCTCTCAGCCTGTTTCCTAATCTTTCAGAAAGGAGCTGATGTTACTTGCCCTGCCTACCTGGCTGAGTTTTTCTAAGATCAGATTATTTCTCCTGACACATATTAACTAAGCATATACTGCACAATGATAAAGTCTAAAAGGGCCACTGAAATAAATCATAACCTAAAAGAGCTTACAATTTAGGGCAGCAATAATGGATGTGTCTAGCCCATAGAAAGTGATTAGTGCCACAGGCAGATAAAGTGCTACAGCAGGTCAAAGGAGAGACAGATCTCCCTGAGGTCAAGCATGTGTGGGAGGCTTGATTAATTATGCAGTGTTTGGGATACTTGGAGCCTGGAAGTGGTGAAGACCAGGACGAAGGGTCAGATGACAAAGGGATGAAGGTGAAACAAGGGGAGTGTACGAGAAACAGAAAATGATTTGTATGGAATGTAGAGTGCAAGATGGGAGCAGTAGGAAGCAGGTTTAGTAAAGTTGCATCCAGATCCTAGGACTTTTGAATTCCAGAAAAAGAAATATAATCTTTACTCTACTGGTACTTTGGACCTAGAAGGGTTTTAGACAACAGATAAAAATGCCTGGGGTGTGTGCTGGGAAAAGTCACCCTGGCAGGAACATGTATGATGGATGAGGGTGGGAGGCAACGGGTACCTAAGGAGAGCAATAATGTGGGTTACTGAAGTGATGTCAGAAGCAGTAAGGGTCAGAGCCAGAATAGCGGAAACGATCAGGAGGCAACAGAAGAAGGATATTCTGAGGATAGAATGGATAGAATCTGATAAATAATTAAGGTATATGAGTTGAGCAAGGACTCAAACACAATTTCAAAGCTTTGAGCCTTGGCGGACATGGTGGCTCACACCTGTAATGCTAGCATCTTGGGAGGCCAAGGCAGTAGGATCACTTGAAACCAGGAGTTTGCAACCAGCCTAGGCAACATAGTGAGACCCCATCTTTACCAAAAAAAATATAAAAAGGAGTGAGACCCTATTTTTAAAATGCAAGAGAAAGAAAAAGCTTTGAGCCTTAGTGAGTGATAAATGCAGTGATGAACAGAAACAGGAAATAAGAAAATACAAAAAGACAATGATTTTTAGCTCAATCCCTAGGCACAGAGTTTGATGAACATTCAGTCTGTGATATCTACTCAGCAGCTGAAATATAATACAGATGATCAGACAGAGTGTGTGAGAGAAAGAGCATTGTTGAGATAACTGAAGTCGCCATGATGGATGGTATAAGCTAGGAAGAAACAAGAGGAAGCAGGTTCAGGTATTTTGAGGAATACCTAGATATAAAAAGAAGAGGAAGGAGAACTAAAGAAATACATGGAGGGGCAGATGTCAGAGATCAAGGGAGCAACAGTTTTAAAGAGGAAGCCAAGTAAAGAAAGCCAAATGCTTAAGAGGTCAATGAAGATGAGGCCAACAGCAGAACCCAAGCTGCAAAAGCACAAAAGGTGCACAGACAGAGAACAAGTGAGGTGACACACGGGAAAGCACCATAAAGAACATCACAACCTTATCAATTATGCTACCGATTCACGACAATGATGGCATCATCCACCAGGTCCTATGTCAGAAACCTGGGGTCCTTGGAGATTCTCTCCCCTCCTCTAGGCCAGATCTGAATTGAGAGCACATGTTTTCTACTGTTTGCTTTAATGTGCTTTCCCTCTGCTTCTGTCTTGTTAATTTCAGTGTTCAGCACCTCCTCTCTGTTTGGCTGCAAGAACCTTCTACCTAGTCTCTGCCTCCAGTGCAGCTTTCTCAGAATCATCTCTCATGTCATCTTACGGTGATCTTGTGAACACGCATTTCTGAGTGTGTGGTTCCTCATCTTAAAAACCTTTCAATGCTTCCTTCAGAAGCAGTTTGCAAGAGGTGTCTCTTGAAAATTGAGGGTTTGTAGAAGCCCTTCTGAGGCTGCTGTGCAGTAGAGATGGCTGTTCTCTATTACACAGAAGAGTTACGCCTAGGGTTATCTATTTTACATGCAGAGCTTCCACAAAAGCTTTTGTTGTGAGGCTAAAACATGTTTGAAAATCACTATTCTAATATATAAAAATCCTCTCCATCTGTGAAATCAGAGGAAAAAATAAAATATAAAAATCCAATTTTTCCAGTATGACTGACAAGGCACTCCCTCATCTAAGCCAGGGAAGTAACCTCATCATTCACACTGAGCCCCTGCGGGCTCTGCCCATTCCAGCCACACTAACTGATCTGCAATCCCCAAATACGTGGTGCCGTGTCACACTCCTGTACCTCTGCACGTGCAATTTCCTGTGCCCGAAATGTCTCCGTCTTCCTAACAGTTGGTGACTTCTACGGCTCCCATCAAGTATTACCTCTTCTGTAATGTTTTCTCTTAGTGACTAGAAATAACCACACACTCCCTTTGGGCTCTACTGTGTTTCAGTTAAGCATGCAACAAAGAATGCCTAGAATATTTACTATTCAGCTCTTTACAAAAAAGGTTTGCTGACCCCTGTCCTAGACCTACCACATTCAGCTCATCTAAACTCTTCCCTCCCTCACTTTCTTTATCAGAATGACAATCTGCTCAACTGCCAACAGATAAACATGAAAATATCAGAAAGAAGACAGTTTTAGAATATTCCAAAAGTGAATGAATGTTCACTTATTAGTATTACATTTCGAAATTTCGAAGAACCGCCTCCTGCTCCACAGAGGTTCATAAATCCCAGTGATGCCAAAGCAGAGTGATAAAGGTTTGGCTTAGGCAGGATAACGGGTCTTTAGAGCATGTTACAGCGCACCTTGCTCTTCTAACTCTGGGGGCTAATCTGGATCTGGCTTCGCTCTAACAGTGTGCGTCCCCCAGGGAAGGCCTCAGGGAGATACTGGGCGACCAGAGGGAAACTGCACTACTATAAGCGGTCCACTGAAAGGGAAGACAGGGGACACCCAGGACTACTAGTAAGACAAGTTCATGTCCTCCAGATGTAAGTCCTGTTTAACAGCTGGAGTAACTTGAAAATTTGGATTTTTCTGTATAGTATGATGTATTGTATTATTTTACTAATGTGCAATTCTATCAGATTAGAACTGGCAAAATGGCTAGCAGATAGGCCTTTGAACTGAAGGAAGACTGTGAGGCTTGGCTAGGAAAAAATCAGATGGTTTCATACAACTACTTTAGAAAATATATTGGCTTATTTTGAATTTAGAGCTCAAATAACTCATAAGAGTATCAAAAAAATTAATGATTGTTTGTGTTTGAGTAAAAAAATTAACATTAGGCTTGATTTAAAGTAGGACTCCACAGCTAGGAGGTTTATTCAGTTTTTGTTATTTTGTTTTTATTGCTTATTTTCACTTTTGTTTTTCAAGTCCCTACTGCAAAAATTTATATTCATTCCTTCATGTTACTTAATACTGCAAAAACCTGTATTCATTCCTTTATGTTAAGGAATAGGAATGAATTAGAAAACTAAACCACTGGCCGGTGTGGTGGCTCACACCTGTAATCCCAGCACTTTGGGAGGTGGAGGCAGGCAGATCACAAGGTCAGGAGTTCGAGAACAGCCTGACCAACATGGTGAAACTGTCTCTACTAAAAATACGAAAATTACCCAAGCGTGGTGGCACACGCCTGTAATCCCAGCTACTTAAGAGGCGGAGGCAGGAGAATCGCTTGAACCCAGGAGATAGAGGTTGCAGTGAGCCCTGATCGTGCCACTGCACTCCAGCCTGGGCAACAGAGCGAGGCTCCATCAAAAAACAAACAAGCAAACAAACTAAACTAAACCACCTCAAGTGTTGGCTTTAAGAATACTTAAAAATACACAGGTTTTAAAATAGATTTTTTTAGAACCAACAGAGGTTTCTTATTTTTTATTAATTTACAATTTCTTATTACTTTTTAAGACTATAAGAAAGCTTCAACTGCAGCATCAAAATCAATTAAAATGAGTGAAGAACTTTGTCAGAAGAGAAAGCTGAAAACTTTTAATAAGAAAGGAAAAAATGTGAAGGTATTTAAACAATTTTTAAAATTAGAAATCACCTGACACCTACCAGCAGGTATAAGTAGCGTGCATGGAAGTTACGAAGCGTAATAATCAACAAATACCTGTCAGGCCGTCGCCTGACTTCAGAAGAGCATGTGCAGGGCCCTCCCAACCCTGTGGCTCCTTTCCCACTCACCCCTGCTTTCTCCACTCCTACCCCAGCCCCCAGGGAACTACTATCTTGATCTTCGATCTGTTTCCTTCGTAGTTTTACCACATTTGTACGTAGTTTGGTTGTTTTTGAACTTTCTATGAATGGTATCATACTATAATGTTCTTTGTTTTTTTTCCTTTTTAAATTTGTACCCAATATTATGTTTAGAAG